CACAAGCCTATAAACATACCAATTGTTTATGGACATTTTTATAACGCGGATGCAGGTAGGCAGCGTCTCGTATATATCGATCTAGCCATATAATGTCGAAACCACAAGCCTACTGCAGCTCTATCTATATCGGTGGGAGGTAGATACTTTATACTTCCTATGATCAAATGGTCCAACGCCAAGCATACGAGAGGACCACAATCCCCTCTGGGTCCTTTCGTTTGTTGTGGTGCGGTCTCGTCTCTGCTAACTGTAATATTGAGCTTCTTTGGCTTCTTGTTTCCAGAACGAGTCCAATAATTTATCGCATCCAAGTATTTAGCCAAATAAGAGCTCCATCCCTTAATAATATCTCTTAAATCAGCCAATGATATGTAATTTATCATGCTGTCATATACTATTGCCTTAAGGGATGGGATCTGAAGCTCGACGAGAAGCCAATGGTTACGTTCCAAAACAAGGATAAACACCTGCAATCATAAGTAATAATTCATTCATTTGCGCACTTATTTATGAATACCTTTAAACTCAATCTAAAATAAACACTAACCTTATCGACCTCCCACCATGCAGGATAAAGTTTAGCTTGTCCATTGCCCAACGCAAATGATTCATCTCGTTGATTCTTCAAGTGAACGGCGTTAAAAGACGTTGGCATAATTGTATACCGTGTATTTCTTTTATTTTCCTTAAGTTTCCTAATTATTAGAAGACGTGACACCCACGCATCGATATGCTGTTTTACAAAAAAAGACATATATTAGTAACTTACATAAATTTACAAAAAAATAATCAAATGAAAATATAAGAAAAATATAAGACTTACCCCTCCATCGAAATAGCCATTGTCTTCGACCCCTAATAATACGCCCCACCAAGACCGATCAAACAACAAATAGATATCATCATTGAGCTTGCATATGTCAGTGAAACACCCCTGACTTCGCTCATATAGATAAAAATCAACTGCGGTCTTAGCCCAAAGGGTGTTATCCAGAATTGTGTCCGGTAGTTGTTTCCTCTCCTCTTCAGATACCGGTATGGTACTGGTCGGTAACTCATACGAGAGCCAACTTGAATCCATCATGTCCGGCACGTCAGAGGGTTTCTCAAGAATCCTACATATGACGCCATGTGAATCGGGCTCTTGAATGGTGGGAGGGACCTCTTCAACGATGACAGTGGCCTCTTGAACGGTGGGAGGGGACTCTCGAAGAATGATAGGGGCCTCTTCAACGATAGGAGTGGACTCTTGAGGGATGATAGGCGAGTCGGGCTTCTTCTTGCGGTGTCTTCGCACTATTGGGGTATACGGAGACTTAATAGCACGTGCACGCCGTCTGATGCGTGAACTCTGTCGTGCAAGAAAAACCCGACGTAAAGCATCCACCTTATCGGTCCGCTAAATAAAAATACAAATATTAGTAAATAAATAGACATGATATTTAAACAGTGAAAACAAAGATAAATATATTTCAAACTTTCAACCAAAAGACAAAACAAAGACAAATACTAACTTCACAGTGTTAAAGTAAAAAGTTTAGCAGTTTTGGCAGCAACCGAATAAATTTACTAAGCAATCTAAGTGAAATGGTTAATTTAAGTGAAATTACGAGTAAATTTATCATCAAGTTAAATATGGAAAATCTTAAACTTACCTCGTTGCGTAGAGTATGAACCTCATTATGCAACGATACTACCATCTCACGTAGAGCGGTAACCTCACCACGTAAAGTAGACACCTCCATACGCCATGCACCATCGTTATCGCGTAGAGTACCGATCTCCTCACGCAAGGCATTGACCTAATCACGTAACTCCCTTGACTCATCCCGTGGAGGTGGAGAACATGGAGATAGAAGTCGTGGCATCTTTGTCGGTCGCCTATCATGAGGTGATGGTGGAGAAGAGACTCGATGATGTGACGAGATAGGTGATGGCTCTCGTTGTAGAGGTGTATAGTCGGATCGATCAGGTGATGGCTCTGGGTGAGGTGATGGCTCTCGAAGTGGAGGAAGTGGAGGCTGCTCATCATTCGTGCCATCAAAAAAACGCTGACTAGCTTGCCACCAATCAGTGGCAAGCTCAGCCTCCGTGGGTGTCAGTCTCATTAATGGAGTGTTGGCCTCCTAAAAATATAAAAACTAAAACAAAGTTAAACGTCTACTATTAATAACTTGTTTATATATGATAGTATTTGTGTTAACTTACATTATTTATTGTCGCATATGGTATTAAGTCTTCCCAATCCAACATATGTTTCCTCTTCCAGGAAATAGCCCTAGGAATATCATCTGAGGATTTTAATGCATATGTCCGCATGATGGGGAAAGCCTCGAATATCCAAATCTACAAACAATATAATAACAAACATTAGTAATTGTTAAATAATTAATTATAATTTTGAAAACATTATATAGAAATTCTTACCTTAAAGGCCCAAACAAAGCCTGACAAAGTGTATTTCGACCCATCGCCCCGCAAACTTTTGCGGTCATCAAAGGCAGACGACAACTTAGTCCAGGTAGCTTTCCATATATACGAACCCCACGGAAACAGATTCCATGCATTTAGGTCCTCTACCAATAATATTAGCTCCTGAGGAATAGGTTGTCTGGCCTCTCTGCCTAAAAAGCCGGCATACAAAAGTAGTAGAAGGCATACTCGGACAACATCGACGTCATTCATCAGAGTAAAACCATCTTTCTTATTAAACAATTTCTTCATGTCGTCGACGTGTAAGTTCGGCTTCTCTATTGACTCATCAGGAAAAACCCTGGATAACCATGATGGGCGGGTGATATGACGAGTGTACCGGCCTACATCATCGTGTCCGAATCGTAGACCAGTGATTAAGCAGAACTCCTTCCGCCCAAAACAAGTATACGCCGGTGGAAAATGAAACCATATCTCTTCCTCACCACGTTGTATACTGTCGGGTAGATCGCTAGTCATGGTCTGAAGCCACAAATGGGTCAAACTAGCATCTCCATCCGGATGCTGTACTCTCAGCCATGGCCCGAAGCAGGTTTCTTCAAACAATTTTCTTTGTGCAGGTGAAAGCTTCGAAGCAATTGTAGTGGCTAGGCTAACTTTATTCCTTAATGTCAATGAAGCCGAAAAAAATTTCTACAAAAAAACAATAAACATACCAAGTTAGATATACCAAAAATTACACTGTCAAGATATACCAAAAACAAAACAATAAACATAAATAGTAGTTTATTCTTGAAACTAAAATTTGCAACACTGTTTTTGTCTTTTGGTTGAAATGAAAATCGCAACGAGATAATGAGAATCGCAATGCGGAAATGACTATCGCAACGAGAGAATCGCAACGCGAAATGACTATCGCGACCAGCGCAACGCGAAATCGACAATCGCAACGCATCGCAACGCGAAATGAAAATCGCAATGCGATTTTGGTTTCGCGTTGCGATTTTTTTTCGCGTTGCGATAGTTATTTCCGCGTTGCGATTTTCATTCTCGAAACTATTCTTCTTCTGCATTACTTCAACCAAAAGACAAAGCAAAGACAAATACTAACTTCACAGGATAAACAGTTTAGCAGTATTGGCAGCAATCGAATGAATTTAATAAGAAATCTAAGTGAAATGGCTAATCTATTATTGAAATTACCAGTAAACTTATCATCAATCTCAATATGAAAAACCTAAAATAATGCAAAAATTTTAAAATAAAAATAAAAAAAAAACTAACCCTCGGAGGTTGATTTTCCATTTCTGAATGATTGTGAGGGATTTTGACTGTGAATGGTTGTGAGGGATTTCGCCGGCGATGGGGAAGGAAATCTTCGGAGATGGGGACGGATTTCGCCGTAGAGAGTGAGAGATGGAGATGAGACTGAGTGTTGTGTTTTTGGGTTTGAGGTTATGAGTTGCGATTACTGTGGACGGTTCAGTTTTCGATTTATTAAGAAAAAATTCGTGTTTGGAATTTGAAAAAAAAATACGCGTTAATACGAATGGCGCTATGTAAATCGCGTTGCGAAAGTCAGTATTTCGTTGCGATTTTGTATTATCGCATTGCGATAGTAAGTATCGCATTGCGATAGTCAGTATCGCATTGCGATTTTCCCAATTCGCGTTGCGATTTACTTATTCGCATTGCGAATTGGGAAAATCGCAACGACATTGTATACCATCGCAACGCGATTTCCAACTATCGCAACGCGAAATGCAACGCGAATTTGCGATAATGGAGATCGCGTTGCGAATTAGCGATCGCATTGCGATTTTGTTGGTCATTTTGACAAATCCAAAAAAAATTAATTAAAATCGTATATTATATGAGATTTTTAGTCACTGAGGTTATTTTCTCTTTTTTATATATATAAATATCCGGTATGTAATTTCCTATGATTCAAAAAGGTAATATATGAAAGAAAAAAACACGCGGGGGCGGTTTTTACGAGTTGCGTGTCTCGGTAAAAAAGCCACAGCATGGCGGATGTGATTGGTGATAGCCGCTCACGACATTAATAGCGACATGCCTTCTCGGCCGTTGCTCCGCTGTTTAACGCTAATGTGGCAACCTTTGAGCCGTGGTCCTGTTTGTCGCGACGGTTCGAGTGCCTCGTCGTTCAAATGAACTGCAATGAAAGCAATCACATGGGGGCGTTCATACTATAAGCGGTACGTGTGGGATTATTCCCTCCGGTTCATGGCACAACGTTGAAGCATAATCTCAGTTTAAGCACTGCTTCTCGATGTCCAAAACATTTCTTAAAGATTAGGTAATATATAAAAGTTCATTGAACATCAGTTTTCATGATTGATTTTTTAAAAGCTATTAAATTTTGATTAAATTATTCTAAAGTAAAAAGTAAAAAATTACAATATATTACAGATAAGTATCAGAATCATACACGTGGAATCGAGGGGGATCTCTATAAATATCGCTATCACCATTCGCCATTCCTCTCATCTACCATACATAAGAACTCTCTGAAACCAAATACCGTTGTCTTTCTTCTCCATCCACCAGTTCTTATGCAGTGAAAAGAAGAAAAAAAGTTAATTTTTTATTATTTAGGGCTTGGAAAGAAGAAGCGAAAATGGCAGACGGTAGCACAGCCACCTGCATAGATATCATCTTGGCCATCATCTTGCCTCCGCTTGGAGTCTTCCTCAAGTTTGGTTGCCATGTCATCATCTCTCTCTCTATTTCTCTGCAATTAAATAGTTTTGCCTTGTGTACTGAAATTACGATATCTATGGAGTTTTATCTGTAATTAACGTTAATTAATTTCGATGCAGGTGGAGTTCTGGATCTGTCTTGTACTGACCCTCTTCGGGTACATCCCTGGTATCATTTATGCTATCTACGCCATCACCAAATAGACAAGTAAAGCAACTCGCTCTTTCGATTTTTTCTACTCAAATAATGATGAATCCAAAAGTACTGCTTTTAAAAAATTATCAATATATGTTAACAACACTTGTATCATCTGTCACTAAACTCAAAGATTCGTTCTACGAGTGTGAATTGTCAGATTAATTTTTTAAAAATAAATATTTATTTTAGTTTATATTATTTAAAAAATTATTAATTTTAATAATTTCGATGGTTATTGAAAATTATATCTTTTAAGTAGATTTCGTTTTTTTATTATATTCTAAATTATCTCTTTTAACAATTTCTTTTCATATGTTTCATACTAAAACGCAAAAATGATTTTACACGTGTAATGATGGCACCCTTCCCAACTTAGGTAAGCAGTAGCTATCTGCTGCCGACCCGATTTATTGATGGTGGGTCACCGGGTCCCGATCTGTACCAATTTTAAATTTATTAATTCCCTAATTTAATCTAACTATAATGATTTTGTGGACTAAATCATATCTTATGCTTTCGTGGCAGGTGGAGATGGGGAGTAGGATTGTTGTTTGTTTGAATGCGTGTCGGTTTTCTATTGGTCCACTTAAATTTATATTTTGTTGTCTATTCGATTTGATGTAAAGTTACAGTATTATGATTGTGATTAGATAAATGTGATGAATGGGCATATGTTTTATAGCAATGATGTAGCAGTTCATGAATTATCCATTATTTAATGTTCATTAAATAAAAATGTTTTAAGGTTATACGATTCAATTTATTTTAATAGTTAAAAAAATTGTATTATTCTTATAGGTTACGGGTTTGAGCAATCAATGATTATAATAGAGTGGTTGAACATTTATTATTAATTAATTAAAAATATTTAGAATAGATATTCTTTTATAATCATTTTAATTTAATAAAAAGAATATAATGTTAGGATCCGGTTTAAACAAAAATCAAGTATCACATTTTATATAAATGCAATTGATTCGATTAATGTATTTATATTTTATTTGAATTATTTCTAATACCATGTGTTTATTTGTTTCTTAATATATCATTGTATATCAAGAATGTTTTGGATTTTGAAATAATGCTGAAGGGGCTCGACGTTTGACCAAATAATACGACACGTTCCTATTCGCTGTTCGTTTTCATTTGAGCTCAAAGTTAATGCCTTGTTATGGTCTTTATTTAGCTTTGTGACAAAGCGTTGTACAGGCCAAAATCATTCAAGCAGGGAGGTGAAAAGAAAATATTTTCTCATATTGAGAGTATTAGATTTTATTTTATAAGTGGGGTAAGTTATATCTACAATTAAACGGAAAAGACGTACGGATCATCTTGTGTATTTATAAATATGTATAAAAGATTTTACCGTCTTTTCCAAACAAACACTCAAAAAGACATATCTTTCTTTTACATTTTTAATCAAAGACATTATATACTCCATACATTTTCACTGTAACCGTAACATTCATCAAATTTGAACAAATAAAATATGTAATATTCCTTATGAAAAATTCATTCTTTTCATCATATATACATCTAAATAAATTTACCTATTGTACTAAAGACGCTAAAAAGATGTTACAATTTTATATCCATTTATATGGTTTACGATAAACAGATAAATAAATAAATTTATCTCAATTCCAAATATTAATCATCTTTAAATGTCAATCTAAATATAATTCGAACTACTATTTATGTATAGATAACTAAGTTTTAGTGGTTTAAGATTAAACAAGGAGAAGATACGCGCTATCTTACCAACACCCACTTTAAGTCGTGCTTTAGAAGAAAGCTTCTGCATCGGATTCTCCGATCTAAATCAAGCCCCCGTTTAGGGTGTAAACAAGCCGAGTCGACTCGAAAACTCGTGAGTTTAAAATTTTTAAGTTTTATTCGAACTCGAAATCCTAAACTGATACTCGTGAGCAGCTCGAAATGAAGAAATTTTTTTTAAACTTAACTCGATCTCGAACTCGAACATAAACATTAAATACATGAAAATTTTATTGTATATTTTTTTAAAAAATAAATACATAAATATTAATATTATTAATAATTTATTTTGAAAATAAAATAAAATCTTAATATATTTTATTTTCGAGCTTCTCACGAGCTTTTCGAGTCGAATATCAAGTAGCTCGCTTTCGGCTCGTTAAGAACTCAAGTCGAGCTCGAGTTCGAGTCTTGTCCATTTGATCCAAGTATTTATCGAGCCTTGATCGAGTCGATCTCGAGTAGCTCGCGATCTGTCTCGTTTCATTTACAACCCTACTCCCATTCCCTTTACACTAGTTTTTTTCTAATGGTTTTTGAACTGCTGATTTTATTAATTATTGTATAAAATTGAGGTTGAATGATAGTTTAATTAAAATTTTGAAATTAAATATTAGAATTTATGGTTTAAATTTTATTATGGTTCGAATTGAAAAAATTATGATATAACTCGTTTGATGAATAAAAAAAATTAATATAATTTTATTCAGTTAAAATTATTCTGTTGGTAATATATATATAATTTTAATGTCTGAAGTGTTTTTGTACAATATTATTATAAATGAGTAGCAGGATCCAAAAGTATTTATTGATTTAACGTTGGAAATGCGAGGCAAAATATGAAATTTCTTCTGAATGCTACCCATCGATTCACTTCGATACACATCAACATTCATCCTCGCATAACCAGATAAAACTAAATTATGTCATACTCCTACAATATAACGTGAGGGATCTTACTGTATAGATAGATTCATGAAATACTGATATACAGGCTCAAAATTGAAGGATATTTTTAATCAATATCGTCGACATAAATTAACCATTCGCGTGGGAACAGGGAATGCTCCTACAACGAAATAAACAAAGGAGGTTCAAAGATTATAAAAATGCAACAGCATGACACCTGGTGCATAGTTAGGTACTTTCAATCACCTTTTTTTAAGTTTCCTTACGTGAAGGAAATCATATTAATCACTAACCAAATGGTTCGATCAAAGTGTACGTGAAGCTGACGGTCCAAATCCAAGAATAAAGTATCACGAGGGACGTGGCTTCATGCGCAATGCCACTTTCTCCATACTTGTAGTATATGAAACAAATAAGTCAAAGTCGACGGAAGACTTGAGGTTTAAAGAGTTAAAAAACGGTATCAGTTACGTGCAGAAGTTGAATTAAATTCCTCGTCATCGTCAGTATATATAGTATAAATTAAATTAAAATTTCAACTCTATAATGGCTAGGGCACATGGGCCAATGATTGTGCTCCATCAGTGGGTTTTTTTTTTCAATACCTGGTAAAATATTTAGGTGGCGTTTGGTTGGATGAAATCTCTTGAAATTGGAGGAAATTAAAATTCAATTTTATCACTTTCTCATGTTTGGTTCAAGTTTTCCAATAGAATTGAAATCCCTCATGGCTTCAACTTTCTATTAAACGATGGAAAGTGAATTTCATCCAAGAATTGATGGAATTCAATTATCTTGTTTGAGAGAATTGAAATTTGACCATACTACTCACATCAATCTTTTGGTAACTTATTCATATATTGAATAAAAATATTTTTTATTATTTTGGGTCGGGTTTCTAATTCATATATTCGGGTCGGGTCGGGTGAAACTTTATTTTGGTCGGGTCGGGTCGGTTTTTTTAAGTGTGATATTCGGGTCGGGTCGAGTTTGGGTTTAGGGTGAAAAATACCCGACCCGAAAATATATATAATTTTACTTTATATATTTAGGAATAATTACAATAATATCCCTATATATATATATATATTCAATTAAGTCAATGTTTTTATTGAATAAAAATATTTTTTTATTATTTCGGGTTGGGTCGGATTTCTAATTCATATATTCGGGTTGGGTCGGGTTCAGGGTGAAAAAACCGGACCAACCCGAAAAAAATATATAATTTTACCTTATATATTTAGAAATAATTACAATAATACCCCTCTCTATATATTTTTTCAATTAAATCAATGTTTTTATTGAATAAAAATATTTTTTATTATTTTGTGTCGTGTCGGGTTGGGTTTCTAATTCATATATTGAATAAAAATAGCTTTTGGTATATTTTTTGGTAACTAATTAACATACTCCGATTGGAATGTATCGAAATATTGCTTTATCTTTTGGTAATTTATTAACATATTTTGATTGCGATGATTTTAACTTATGATATTTATTAGCATGATTTTTATAATTTATTGAAATGAATAATCAATCAATAAAATAAAAATTTAATATTTTTTTAATTTTTTATAATATATTACTACATGTAAGTTGTAAAACAAACTAAAATAAAGAAAAAAAATCAAGAAAGGCAATTCTGTCACTTTACATTACTGAAATCAAATTCATCTGGCATGTCTGCGAACCAAACAGAATATGGAATTGGATTCCAATTCTATTTCCTGCCAACCAAACAGAATATGGAATTGGATTCCAATTCTTGACATATTCCAATTCCTTCACAGATTCCAATTCCCTCATAAACATTCCAGCGAACTAAACGTCACCTTAGGATATTAGGACTACCCAAAATTTAATTAACAAAATACGACATTTGTTACAGTCCGAAAGGAACTCGTCATCTTATGGGATATTATTTTTAAATGGTCAACCCATAGTGGGTCTCACGTGGGCCATTATTTTAATGGCGTTAAAATGACTCGTCACGACGAGGTGACGAGTCTAAAATAATATATATTTTTTAATTTTTAAAAAATAAAATTTAGGAAAAAAATATTTGATGGAACTCATCACGTCGAGGTGACGAGTTCCTTCAAATTAAAAACAAAAACTAGTTGTTGTTCAACGGGCAGACAGGCATCAACGGTAACTTGGTGACGAGTTCTGCTTAGGAATGGCAGAACGACCCAAACTCGACGGGGAAACCCGAAATCCGGCTAAGTTCGGGTCGGTTTGAATAATATCATGTCGGGTATCAGGGTAAAATTCAGAAATTTTTTCAGTTTCGGGTTCGGTTCGGGGCAAGGGATCCCCTCCTCAATTATATATATATAATATTTTATATTTTTTATATTAATTATATATAATACAAACAAAACATTTAACTTATGATTTTAATTTTATATTCAAAAAACTTTTGTCCGACATTGCTTCAATAGCTAGTGAGAATGATGACTCGGGTGATATGGCCGAATTAGACAACTACTTGAAAGAGAAGCTTTTGTCTAAAGACGCGGATCTTGATTTGTTGGCTTGGTGGAAGACGAATGGAGGTAAGTATATGACACTTCAAATGATAGCAAAAGATATTTTAGCAATTCTTGTTTCCACTGTTGCCTCAAAATCCGCATTCAACACTAGTGGAAGATTAATAAGTCTACATCGAAGTCGACTTCATCCAAAAACTTTGGAGGCTTTAATGTGTGCGCAAAGTTGGTTGTTGAATTATATTTGAGGTAAGTCAGTAACACTATATTCTATATTAACTTATATGTCATTTCCTTTTTGAATAATATTTGTGTTAAAGGATAATTTATGTTATTTTGTTTATAGAAACTTGTTCGGAAGAGACCGAGGCATATTGTCGCTCTGTTGA